GCCTGTAAGGTCTACAAAAAAAAAACTATCGATTAATCGAATCGTATCATATCGTGGTGTATTCTTGAGTATCGAAAATAATCGAATCAGTGGGTCAGGAGATCGATACTGAATCAAATCGCCATGATGGATGTGATTAACACCCATAGTGTGGATGCTCGATAACTTTAGCATCAGTATCAGTCCGATAAGTGAAATTGGTTTAGGTACTAGATCTGCTCAGGGCCCTGCACCTTCTTATGACGTTAACATATGGAAACTCCACTCAGACAAACTGTATTGCACCCGTTTCTTATTAATCTAATCCGTTTTGGAGTCTCAACATATTATTAACTATATGTTAGACGCTGCGTGATGTTATCATTGTCTGGACAACCACTATGTTTTACATCATGTGGCAATGTTTAGCCAATCATGTAGCGTAACGTCACTGGCATATGCAGGACTAGAGCAGATCTGGTACCTACACCGGGCCCATATTAACCACAGCTGTTTATTTCCACCTGTTGCTATTGAGGGGAAGGGAGGAGATGTGATCAAGTGTTGCATGTTTGGTCACATTAAAAGCATAAAGCAAAGGATAGTGGGTGTTTCATTGAAGAGACAATTGATGTCAGATATCAGATATAAACCATAAGGGCAGTATTATTATCTGGTATCCACTTTTTTTTTAAATCTCAATCAATAACACAGTAGTGAGGTTATAAAGCAGGATGTATGTTTGAGCTGATTGTTTGGCATCTGTTGTTTAATGCTGGATCAGTTTCTTTTAAAACTCTGAAAGTTAGCAAATGTTTAATCAGATTGCAGATTTAATGTAATTGCAGAAAAACTATGTTCAGAAAAAAGAAAGTAGATATAAAAAGGGTTCGATACAAATCTAAAAAGCTAAACAGCAGCCTTTAGCATGGCTTAACATGCAGAAAAGAGCTCTGTAGTCATATTCCCTAAACGTCAAAACTCCAACCAATATGGTTTACCTTCTAGACAGAAACCTTATTGTAAACTTAATAAATCCTTTATCATTGCTCATAAACTAGATCGTTTATCTTAGACACGTTTCATTCATCTGTTTAAAACGGTTTATTTAACTGGCTGGAAACTGACGGAGCATAAATACCTTAATGATGCTTTGCAGCACTTTTTCATTGATGACAGCTTTGTGGCACGCCGTTTTATGGTAAAGGTCCACCACCACCTCCAGGGAGCGCTCAGCAAAGGGCACGTAGTTTAAGGCAACCCATTCTGCCTGTGGAGACAAAGAGTTCCCTTTTATTAAAAAAATAAAAATAAAAATCACCCCACAAAGAAAACATTTTCCATTTCAAATCTGGCAAAGCCACGTTAAAAGCATGATTTAAAGGCCCACTTTGAGAAAGAAAAAGGAAACTTTAAAGCTGCTGTTAGGCTATTAGGGTGTTTGATGTTGCAGTCAAACAATTTGTCAAAGTGTGCCTTTAACAAATAAAGAGAACCACACGTTAGCGTGTGAAAACAAAGGGATCACCAAAAATCACAAAGTCAACAGAAAAATTAACTGCACATAGACGGTGCACACAGAGGTGGTGTAACCACCAGTTAGTGGCAGGCAGAGAGACGGGGCAGCATGGAGTGAGAGGGAGACGCAGATGAGACACGAGAGCCCGCAATGCCGACTGAGACGGGATCGCATCCCCGATCAGCACAGCTTAGTGCTATTATAGATGAGGGGAGGGTTGGTGGTGAGGAGGCTTAAGGAGATGGTGCAACTCACCGGTGCAAACAGCTGGATCTAAAACGTTTATCCGGTGAGTGGTTCCCAGAAACAAAAATGACAAAAGATTGAAGTTAACCTGCTGCTTTTAAAGCAGCTGAAGAGAGCTGCTGGCGAAATACACTTTAGGAAGAAATGTAGTTTCTCAAAAGTGCACAAGATCCAGAATGATATGAAATACCTTCTAAAAACTTTGCCCCCTGACTTTTCTGCACGACGAACAAAACCTTCAATGTATTTAGTTATTTTATGTGATACAGCGAATAATATGCAGGGTGTTTCTGTGAAGTCATAGGAAAAACAATGCATCAAAGGACAGGTACAAAGAGTTTACCGATAGTTTTAGGTTTGGACTTTGACTAGGCCATATAATCTGATTTAGGCCTGGGTGTAAACCTCAGATACAAAGTAGGCCAAAGTTAAAAACCAATAACTTGAACAAATGCCAGCAGTGATCTTTTTTTTTTATGGGGAGGTTATCTTCTTTTCTGTTAAAAAGATAAACCTTCCAGCTGCTGCAGACCTTCTGAATGATCTTGCAGGTCAAATATGACTCTGGGGGCCTGGTTGATAATGTCATTGATTACATGAATAAAGTCTTTTTTCTGCTGTAAGCCAAAATTTAGCTGTGATCTAAATCTTTGGAAATATTTTTAATTGTTTTAAAGGAAAAGTCCGGTCATATTCAGAATTCAAACTTCTGAAAGTTCTTTAAATATGAAATTATTACAAACTGTTCAGTAAATGATCACTGTTTTTAATTCAGAGTAATTTTCCTTTGAATGGTCTTTACTGGAGGCATCCATGTTTGTCAA